ATAAGAGCTTGATATTATCTAATCGATGAGAAATAAATATACGAGATAAGAGATAGTAGATAAACGCAGACAAGAGATAAGTGAATGTGAGATAAGGGATAAAAGATAAGAGAATGTTTAATAAGATAAAAGAGATAAATGGAGATAAGTTATATGAGGTAAATGAATATCAGATAAATTATAAATGAATATGAGATAAATTAGATAAGAGAGAAGAGGTAAAGGGAGATAAGGGATGAGAGATAAATAGAGATAAGAGCTAAATGGATATGAGATGAGGAAAAGAAAAAAGGAAAAAGGAAAAAAGAAAAAAGAAACAAGAAACAAGAAACAAGAAACAAGAAAAAAGAAAAAAGAAAAAAGAAAAATATAACAGATAAATAAATATAAGGATTAAGAGATAAAAAGATAAAAGATGGAGATAAGAGATGAATGAATATAAGATAAAAGACAAGAGAGAAAAGAGACACAAACTTAAGAGAGAAAGATAAGAGATAAGAGATAAGCACAAATAAAAGAGAAATAACATGTGAGAGATAAATTAATATGAGATAAGGGATGAGAGATAGAAAGAGATAAGAGATAAAGGAATTTGAGATAAAGGCCATGGAGACGAGATAAGAGACAAAGATAAGAGGAAAAGATAAGATGTAAACAAAGATAAGAGAAATGAATTTGAGATGAGGAGGAGACAGAAGAAATAAAAGCCGCGATAAGAAAAGAGACAAGAGATAAACAGAGAGATCAGGGATAAGAGATTAGGTGTAAATGTATTTTATTTGATAAGAGATAATGTATAAAAGGTAATATGAGATGAAGATAAGAGATATACAAAGATAAGATAAAAGAGTAAAGATATAAAGAGGAGATGAAGATTAACATAAGAGATAAGAAATAAATGGAGATATGTGATAAATGGATATAAATGAGGAGAGATAAGAGATAAGAGATAAGAGATAAGAGATAAATTAATGTGGGATAAGGCATGAGAGATAAATTAATATAAATGGGAAAGAGAAGAGAGACATGCAAAGATAAGAGATAAATGGAGATAAGCGATAATCAGAGATAAAAGAGAAATTGAGATAAGAAATTAATATCGCACAAAGATAAGAGACACCAAAATATAATTGTAGATAAATGGTGGTAAGAGATAAGGGATAAGAGACAAACAGAGATAAGAGAGACAAATGGATAGGAGATAAGGAAAGGAGAGAAATGAATACAAAAGATAGGGATGAGAGGAGAGACATGCAAAGGTAAGAGATAATGGAAATAACAAAATATAATAAATCAAAATTAAATAGAAATAAAACAAAAGAAAAGAAACAAAAAGAAATTTAAAAGGGAAAATAAAGTAAGACAAAACAAAATTTAATTAAAATAAATAAAATTAAATTAAATTAAATATAATAAATAAACAAAATAAATAAAAAGAATATACAAGTATAAAATAAAACAAAAAAAAATACAAGTATAAAATAAAACAAAAGAAAACAAAATAAAATGAAATAAAATAAAAATAAAATAAAAGAAAATTTAAAAAACCAAAATGGAATAAAATAAAATACGTCAAAACATAAAATTAAATGAAACGGAATAAAATAAAAGTAAAAATAAATTAAAATAAATTAAATTAAATTAAAATAAACAAAACAAACCAAAATAATAACATAAAAGAAAACAAAATAAAATATTCTAAAAAGTAAAATAAAATAAAATGAAACAGAATAAAAGTAATAATAAATTAAAATAAAATAAATTAAATTAAACTAAATTAAAATGAACAAAAGAAAATAAAACAAAAGAATAAAATAAAACAAAATAAAATATTTTAGGCAGCAAAATAAAATATAATGAAACTAAATTAAATAAAACAAAATGTAATTCAATCTGGCTTGCAGCACCCCCCGCGCTGTCACCTCCAGGTAGGGCACGGGCGTGTCGGGGCTCAGCGGGTATTCCCGCAGCAGCCGCTCCTCGTCCAGGAACTTGCCGGCGCGGCCGTTGAAGGCGGGCTGGAAGAGGCCGTAGTTGAGCACATCCTTGAGGCTGTGGTTGAGCGTGCACAGGATCCGCTGCTTGGACACCCACACCGGAACGTCGGGGTTCAGCCGCAGACACTTCTGGGAACGCGCACGGAACGCCGCGTCAGCGCGGGGAAATTCCATCGGGAATGGGGCCGGCTGGTCTTGGGGAACGGGGGATGAGGGAGGGAAAGGGTTTGGATGGGGCACAGCTATGGGAAAGGAGGAATAGCCGAGGTTTTATGGATAAATTATTGAAAAAAAACCATAAAATTGGGTGTTCTTAACGTGGATTCCAAAGGGAAATCCATAGGGAAAGAGAGGGAGAAAATGGGAATCCACCAGGTTCTCCAGGGAATGGGGGAATGAGGGAGGGAAAGGGGTTGGATGGGGCACAGCTATGGGAAAGGAGGAATAGCCGAGGTTTTATGGATAAATTATTGAAAAAAAACCCAAAATATGGGATGTTCCCACTGTGGCTTCCAAAGGGAAATCCATAGGGAAAGAGAAGGATGAGGCAGGAATCCAATGAGTTCTCCAGGGGAACGAGGGAGGGAATGGGAGGAGTTGGGGTTTGGAGGGGGCAGAGCTACGGGAAAGGAGGAATACCCAAGTTTTTATGGATAAATTATTAAAAAAAAACATAAAATTGGGTGTTCCCACTGTGGATTCCAAAGGGAAATCCATTGAGAAACAGAGGGAGAAAATGGGAATCCACCAGGTTCTCCAGGGAATGGGGGAATGAGGGAGGGAAAGGGTTTGGGAGGGGGCAGAGCTATGGGAAATGAGGAATATCCAAGTTTTTATGGCTAAATTATTTAAAAAGACCAAAAAATTGGGTGTTCCCACTGTGAATTCCAAAGAGAAACAGAGGGAGAAAATGGGAATCCACCAGGTTCTCCAGGGAATGGGGGAATGAGGGAGGGAAAGGGGGGAGTTGGGGATTTTGGGGTTCAGACCTGTGGAAAATCAGGAATTCCCAAGTTTTCCTGGTATTTTGATTTAAAAAATGAAAAAAAAAAATTGGGTGTTCCCACTGTGGATTCCAAAGGGAAATCCATAGGGAAAGAGAGGGAGAAAATGGGAATCCACCAGGTTTTCCGTGGGAATGGGGGAAAAGAGGGAGGGAAAGGGGAGAGTTGGGGTTTGTGGGATTCTGGCAGGGGGAAATCCGTGGGAAATGAGGAATTCCCAAATTTTTCCAATCTTTTCAATTAAAAAATAAAGAAACAAAGGATGATGTGGCAATTCCTCTGTGTCCATCCCTGAGGAATTGCCACACTCCAGGCATGGATCTGGACATGAATCTGCACATGGATTTGGGAATGGATCCAGGCATGGATCTCCATATGGATCCAGGAATGGATTCCAGCATGGATTTGGGAATGGATCTGGGCATGGATCCCAAAATGGATCCCAACATGGATCCCAACATGGATCCCAGCATGGATTTGGGAATGGATTTGGGCATGGATCCCAAAATGGATCCCAACATGGATCCAGGAATGGATCCCACCATGGATTTGGGAATGGATCTGGGAATGGATTTTGACATGGATCCAGGAATGGATCCCAGCATGGATCTGGGAATGGATCCGAGCATGGATCTGGGCATGGATCTGGACACAGATTCAGGAACGGATCCAGGCATGGATCCCAACGTGGATCCCAACATGGATTTGGAAATGGACCTGGGCACAGATCCAGACAAGGATTCGGGAATGGATCCCAGCATGGATCCTCCCAAAACCAGGACAAAGTTCCAGCCCCAATCCAGGCCCAGGGAGCATTCCCGGCTTTCTTCCAAGGATTCTCTTTGGATTTCTCCCAGGATCCTGGTTTTCTTCCCAATTACTCCTTCCATGCCACTCCAGCAGCATTGCCATTCCCACAGGGTGGAAAATCCCACGGGATTCTCCTGGATTTCCATGGGTTGGTGGGAGAAGGGATCAGAGCCACATTATTGGGAATATCCTTGGGAATTCCCACCTGGAGCTCCCAAATCCCACCTTGGGCCAGGCTGGGATGTCACCATTCCCATCATTCCTGACCACAGTCCTGGGAAGGAGTTGGGATTTTTGGATATCCAGGGAAAGCGATCCTGGAGGAGAGGAGGAATCCACAGGAATTTTTTTCCACCCTCCAAAGCCAAACTGGGACCAGTTTGTGGAGCCAGCTGGGGAAAAAAAAAAACCAGGAATTTCGGGGCTTAAATCATCTCCTGAGGAAAATTCCAGCCCTGCAAATCCCAGAGTTTAATTCCTTGCTGGGAGAAGCCGCTTCCAGCAAAAAGGAAAAAAAAAAGGGATAAGGGTGAGAGGGAGGATCCAGGAAGCACCTGGAGTTCCTGGAGCCAGAAAAACAAAGGATTTGGGATTTTCCAGTGAATCAGGGGCTGATCCATCGGGAAGGGCGTTGGATGTTGTGTCACCCCACAAAACCCAATCCCAAAATCCCATCCGGTGATTCATGGTTCAAAATTCCATCACAAAACCCCAGAATTCCGACAGCACTGACAGTCCCGGCCATCCCAATATTCCCAAAGTCCCCAAAACCTTGGAATGTTTCCAGGGAATCCACTCCCCCCATCCCACCCAGGGCTTCCCATGGGATTTGCTCCATCAATTTTCTGGGATAAAGGTTCCCCACAAGGAAAACCATCAGGAATTCCAAGAAAACCCCACAATTCCCTGGTAAAGCCTTCCCGGTCCATCCCTGGCAGCTCCTGATCCAACGGATTGAGGCTGGAATTTTCCCTTGGGAAGCAGCACCAGCGTGGCCCTTGCCTCACTTTTTTCCCAGGATTTTTCCAGGATTTTTCCTGATCCATCCAGGAAAAACAGGGATCTGCTGGATCTCCCAGGGCTTTTCCAGGGAATCCACTCCCCCCATCCCACCCAGGGTTTCCCATGGGATTTGCTCCATCACTTTTCCAGGATAAAAGTTCCCCTCAGATTCCCAATTCTCCCATCCTGAAACACACAAGGAAAACCATCAGGAATTCCAAGAAAACCCCACAATTCCCTGGTAAAGCCATCCCAGTCCATCCCTGGCAGCCCCTGATCCAACAGATTGAGGTTGGAATTTTCCCTTGGGAAGCAGCACCCTTGCCTCACTTTTTTTCCAGGATTTTTCCCAATCCCTCAGGAATTCCAGGATCTGCTGGATCTTTGTCCCCGCATCTCCTTCTTCCCAAAATTCCCTCCCAAATTTTGAACACCTTAACCTTGGAATGTTCTCCCTCCTTTCCTCAGCGCTTTCCCAAAAAATCCACAGCTCATCCTTGGGAATTTTTCCCATTCCAAGCTCCTTCCCTTCCCCCTGGAGCAGCTCCAGCGCTTCCAGAAATTCTTGGAATTCACCATCAGCGGGAGCCTCTGGAAGTGGCTGCTCCGGAACTTTTAATTCAATCCAAATAAATCCTGGAATTTCTCGGAATTCCCATTCTTTATATCCAATCCTATTCAAGATTCCAAACCCGTTTGGCCGCCGCATTCCCAGGAAAACCCGATGATTAAACTTCCCTGGGAATTCTTTCCCAGATTTCCCGGTTTTCCATGGAAACTCCCGGATCCGTTCGTTGCTCTTTAGGTCTCGAAGGCGGCTCCTTCCCAAAAATCCCTTTTCCCTACGGAATCACCACTTGGAATGCCATCATTCCTCCCTCCACATCCTCTCCATCCCTCCATTCCAGGTGGGAATTCCCATCAGGAATTCCCACAGGAATTCCTTGGAAACTCCAGCACTCACCGGCTGCTCCATCCCGGAGCGAAAATTCCCAACTTTTCCCACTGGTGGCTCCGTCTTTTCCTTGTCCTCCCTCCGTGTCCCCCCGGATGCTCCAAGGGGACAAAATCCCATGGATGGGGTATCCCTGTTTTCCATGGATGGGGTATCCCTGTTTTCCATGGATTCTCTGGAAGCGGCCGCTCCGGAGCTTTGAATCCCAAGCCAAATAAATCCCGGGAATGTTGATAAATTTATCCAACCACTCCCCTCTGGATCGATCCTGCCGGGATTGGTCCGATGCTTCCAGGGGCCGTTCCCAGGAAATCCCAGCCTCCAGCTCCATGCTCAGATTCCCAAGAAAAATCTGGAATTCTGAGCCGGGAAATAAAGGGAATAAAGGGGGAATTTCGCCTCCTGTCCATGTTTTATCTGGTTAAAATCGGGATTTTCCTTCTGTTAATTCCCAGCCTGAATGTGAATCCTGCACATTCCTATGGAATTTTCTCTCCTGCTTCCCACAAAAAACAAGGATCTGATTATTTAGGATGCAACAGCAGCAAAAAAATATTGGGAAACTCCAAACCAGCCAAGAAAAAACAAGGATTTGATGCATCCGTGCAAAAAAAAATCTGGGAAAATGCGGGTTGAAAATGGTATGGATAAAAATTCCAACTATTTGCTGGAAAAATGGGAATTAACTGTGGGAAAGCTGAATAATAAATGACAGGATTTTGTTTAAGGCAAAATCAAATTGGGATTCGAATCCGACGAAATTCCAAAGGGGATTTAATGGGAAGGGAGGGAAAAGGAGGAATTGGGCAGGAAATAGTAATTAAGAAAGGATTAATAAATAAATTATTAATAAATTAATATTTATTTCATGCTAATTAATAGAAGTGGGCTTGGATAATTCTTCAGTTTTTAATTTTTAGGGAATTTTTATCCAGTTTTGGGCAGGGTTGGATGAGCATGGATCATCCCAGATCCCCGCTGGAATCTGAGGCTCTCTAAGGACTTTTCCCACCCAAATTTTCCTTAATTCCCGATAAAACCTCCCAGAAATCATTTTCCAGGGGGAAAAAATAAATCCATCATTCCCAAGGACGAGCTCGTTCCTTCTCCTGCTCCTCGCTCCAGGCTTCCCTCATTCCGTAAAAAGACAGGATAAAAAAAAAAAAAAAAAAAGCCGGAATTTCCATCGATCCCCGGTGGGAGCAGGGGGGAGGATTTGATTGGTTAATTAATCAACCATAATTAATTAATTAATCAATGACCCGTGAATGTCGGGATAATTGAAGATCCGGGACAAAAGCAGCTCCAGAATGTTTGATTCCAAACGTGATCGTCCGGAAAAATGAGTTTCAACAGCC